TCACTGTCTTTTATCTAAAGGAACAAGAGCTACCTCTGCAGCCAAAACGTCCGATATGAGTCTATCTGTGGTTTCATTCAGCATAAAAGCATCTGCTGTTTCATTCACCATAAAAGCATCTGTTGTTTCATTCAGCATAAAAGCTTCGAGGCTGCTGTTCTGAAATGGCAACCACTCAGTCCCTTGGCAGTAAAATAGACAGAGTAACAGCAATTGAAAAATAGATAAGAGTGGAAAAGGTTAAATAAAAAAATGAAAGGCCAAGGGAAGAGAGGATGGAAAAATAAAGAGAGAGAAAGAAAGTGAAAAGAAAGAATTAGAGAGGGAAAGTAAGAAACAAAGTGAGAACAAGAGAAAAGGTAAGGGAGGAAGATGGTAGAAGGAGAGGGAGGGGTGGAAGGGGGCATGGCAGGAAGGAGGGAGGGAGAAAGAAAGAAAGAAAGAAAGAAAGAAAGAAAGAGAGAGAGAGGGGGCACCAGAGAAGGGAGGAGAGAGAAGAGAAAGAGGGAGGGGAGGGGAGGGGAGGGGAGGGGTGAGGAGGGGAAGGGAGAGGAGAGAGAGAGAGAGAAGGGAGGAGAGAGGGGGAGAGAGAGGGGGAGAGAGAGAGAGAGAGAGAAGGGAGGAGAGAGGGGGAGAGAGAGGGGGAGAGAGAGAGAGAGAGAGATTCATCTGACCACAAGATCCTTTTTGATACAGTATATCAAAATCTCATCAGATAAGAGAGCAACGTAATATACGGTCGTGGTCAGTACCTGGTAATACATCATTTCGGAGGGCAGTGAGGTGTTGGCCTCCATCTTGTACTGGTTTTGGTCACTGCCAGCAAGGTCTGAATTGTTAGTCAGGTTCATGCTGGTAGTCACCAAGTGGCTCGAAGCTCCTGGAAAAAATAAACAACTAAATAAAAGGACCTTAAACACTGAAACACAAACGTAAGTTAGGGATAATTAATCAAGTATCAATCACCAACAAAAGTTAAGCTAACAGTTAACACACAAAAACAACAGAATGGTTGTTACAGTAATATTGTGAAGTAGAACATTTATGTGTCAACATACATTGAAACTATCATAATGTTTTCTTCTGTCTACTGCAAGATAAAGGTCCCCTTTACTCTTATTCTATTACATAATTTGCTCCATCCCTGCAGCTATGATCCCACCTTTGCTTCTTTTTGTTCAGGGGGGGGGGGAGAAAGAGAGAGAGGGGAGGGAGAAGTGGAGAGAGAAGGGGAGAGAGTGTGTGTGCGTGTGTATGTATTTGTGTGTGTGTGTGTGTGTGTGTGTGTGTGTGTGTGTGTGTGTGTGTGTGTGTGTGTGTGTGTGTGTGTGTGCGCGTGTGCGTGTGTGTGTGCGCGCGTGCGTCTATGCAAGCGTGAATGTGTGTGGGCGGTACCTACGTGTCACAAATAAACAGGTACATATTTGTCAAATACTAAAACCCACGACAGCGCATGGCTGGCTGGTGACGTGCCAGGCAAGGGCCACGTGCGACGACGTCTCCCGTCAACGTTATCCCCCCCCTCCCTTCACGTCACTCACGTCACTCCGTCCCTCCCTCCGGACTCGCCGGCAAATGTTCCTGAAAATTCCTTCCGCGAACGCATTGCAATACGCTTTCCCGTTTTGCTATGATGGAGACTTGATGCCTTTAATGCGATCCAGTCAGGGACGATAACAAAGATGAATGGTCAAAATTTCGAAAGGTTATAAAGTCAGCGTTAATAGGTATTTTATACATCTTATTATCTACCATCATTTTCCTTCATGCAGTTAATCCCGGATATGTCTAGCAAACGTAAATTAACATTCTAAGAGGAATCTTAAAAGAATGATTGAATTTTAATGGATGATACTAGGGGACTTGATATCGTTTGACTTTTCATTCCAATTCTGTCCTTTTTTTCATTTACTTTTGTTTATTAGCCTTTTTCAAACCCGACCACAAAAGAGAGCAAGATCGACAGTGAGCGTCTTCGCAAGCGCCCCTGCCTCTTCGTATTATCTTGGGGATCGCCGTAATTATCAGAGGCAGCAGAGTGGAGAGGAAAGCAGGAGGACCTGCAAGGCTGCGAGCGAGGGCGCTGATGAAGGTCGGGAGGGGAAGGCGGAAAATGGGACGCAAGAAGAAACAGAAGTGACGAAAAAGGGAGATGGGGATAAAAAACGAAAGTGACGAAAAAAGGTAAGATACGAGAAATGAGACAGACAGACAGAGAGAGAGAGGAACGGAAGGGAATAGAAGGGAAAGGGGGGGGGAGAGAGAAAAAAAAAAAAAACAGATGTATATGAAACAAACGTATCGCAATAACTGAAAGAAGAAGAAAGAGGCGCTACTCCAAGTAAAGGGCCGCAGAAGCAGATGCGAGGAGGGCAACTGGGCCAAGACTCAAGCCACACTCGACGGCGGCGGCGAAGGTGGCGGAGGTGTTGGCGCGGTACAGGCTGACGTTGACACATGAGCGCATCTATCAGCAGGCGGAGCAGGGCAGGAGCACCAT